TTTTTGAATTTGCTCTTTGAATGTTTACAAATTGTGAGATATTTGTTGCTTTTGGAACTTGGTTGATTGGTAATTAGCTAATGTTTGTTTATGGATATTGATAATGGCTCATAACTACTAAATATCAACTTAGTAAGTTTATGAATCTGTAGGATTTGGGAGCTTTTACTTTCTTTTGGATTTGCTCTTTGAATGTTTACAAATTATGAACTATTTGTTGCTTTTGGAACTTGGTTGATTGGTGATTAGCTTATGTTTGTTTATGGATATTGATAATGGCTCATAACTACTAAATATCAACTGAGTAAGTTAATTTATCTCATGATTAAACAATAATTATGTAGATGCGTAGATGGTTCTTCATTCTTGATGTTATCTTATTATTTGTTTGTTTATTATTCTATTTTAACTAACATTATATTTTTTCAAGCTTATGTTTGTTTATTATTTGCTAGTATATTACTCCGATAAATACTACTTATCCCCGATATATCCCCGATTTCCGCTATCCGATAAGGATTTTGACCGTCCGATAAATCCCCGATAACCGACATTTAAAACCTTGATCATCAGGAACCTGGATGTGATATTCAATGAGGAGGTGATGTACAAGGACAGAGACAATGCCAAGGATAGCCAAAGCAGTGGGAGCAACACTACGGATACAAGTGGATCCGAGTACATGGATTTGGAGGAACTTCCAGATGGGGGTGACGATGTCAGTTCTGACCGTAGAACGGAGGAGACTACAGGTGCAGAAGCTACTACCCAGGGCGTGGAGCTTAGGAGGTCATCCAGGGTACCCAAACCAAATTCTAAATACCTCTCGTCACTTGATTATCTACTCTTAACAGATTGCGGAGAGCCGAAGTGTTATGAAGAGGCAGTGCAAATGAGTGAATCTCAGCAGTGGGAGCATGCGATGCAGGAGGAGATGGATTCTCTACTCACTAATGAGACATGAGAGTTAGCCTAACTACCTGCGCAGAAGAAAGCCTTGCACAATAAATGGGTCTACCGGGTCAAACAGGAGAGTGATGGAAGCAAGAGGTATAAGGTCAGGCTAGTCGTGAAGGGGTTTCAACAGCGAGAATGAGTGGATTACACGGAGATATTTTCGCCTGTTGTGAAGCTCACTACCATCAGAGTGATGTTGAGCTTGGTGGCTACAGAAGATCTCTTTCTTGAGCAGTTGGATGTGAAGACTGCCTTTCTTCATGGTGACTTGGATGAAGAAATCTACATGAAGCAGTCTGTTGGCTTTATTGAAGAAGGAAAGGAAGAGATGGTGTGCAAGCTCAAGAAGAGCTTATATGGTTTGAAACAGGCTCCGAGACAATGGTATAAGAAGTTTGATAACTTCATGCAGAACAATGGCTACAGAAGATGCAATTCAGATCATTGCTGTTATTTCAAAAGGTTTGAGTCCAGCTTCATTATTTTGTTATTATATGTTAATGACATGTTGGTAGCAGGACCATGTTTGGAAGAGATAAACAGTTTGAAGAAGCATCTAGTAAAGGAATTTGCAATGAAGGATCTGGGCGCATCGAAGCAGATTCTAGGGATGCGAATCAGTAGGGATAAAGCTGAAGGGACATTGAGATTGAACTAAACTGAATACATTGAGAAGGTACTTCAGAGGTTCAACATGCAGAATGCTAAAGTTGTTAGCACACCCCTTGGAAGTCAGTTCAAGCTATCTGAGGAGCAATCGTCTAAGACAGATGCAGATAGAGAGCATATGAGCAGGGTGCCATATTCTTCGGCCATTGAGAGTCTCATGTACGCGATGGTTTGCACGAGACCGGACATCGCCCATGCAGTGGGAGTTGTGAGCAGATTTGCAAGCAATCCAGGGAAACAGCATTGGGAGACCGTGAAGTGGATAATGCGGTACTTGAGGGGGACAACAAACAAACCACTATGTTTCAGGAGGAAGGAGTTGGTGCTGTAGGGATACGTGGATGCGGACTTCGTCAGTGATCATGATACGAGGCGAAGCACTACGGGGTATGTTTATACCTTAGCGTCGACAGCAGTGAAATGGGTCTCACGTCTGCAGAAGATTGTGATTTTGTCCACAACCAAGGCTGAGTATGTCGTGGTGACTGAAGCAAGCAAGGAAATGATCTGGTTGAACGGGTGCTTGGAAGAGTTGGATCTAAAGTAAGGGAGAGGAGTACTTTATTGTGATAGCCAGAGCGCTATACATCTTGCCAAGAATCCAGTATATCATGCCAGAACGAAGCATATCGACGTACGATACCATTTTATACGCTCGCTGATCGAGGACGGAAAGTTGCACTTAATGAAGATTTTGGGGAGTCAAAATCCGGCGGACATATTGACGAAGGCCGTGTTTAGAAGAGATAAACAGTTTGAAGAGGCAGCTAGCAAAGGAATTTGCAATGAAGGATCTGGGTGCAGCGAAGCAGATTCTAGGGATGCGAATCAGTAGGGATGAAGCTGAAGGGACATTGAGTTTGAGCCAAGCTGAATACATTGAGAAGGTACTTCAGAGGTTCAACATGCAGAATGCTAAAGTTGTTAGCACACCCCTTGGAAGTCAGTTCAAGTTATCTGAGGAGCAATCGCCTAAGACAGATGCAGATAGAGAGCATATGAGCAGGGTGCCATATTCTTCGGCCATTGGGAGTCTCATGTACGCGATGGTTTGCACGAGGCCGGACATCGCCCATGCAGTGGGAGTTGTGAGCAGATTTGCAAGCAATCCAGGGAAGCAGCATTGGGAGGCCGTGAAGTGGATAATGCGGTACTTGAGGGGAACAACGAACAAGCCACTATGTTTCAGGAGGAAGGAGTTGGTGCTGCAGGGATACGTGGATGCGGACTTCGCCGGTGATCATGATACGAGGCGAAGCATTACGGGGTATGTTTATACCTTAGCGTCGACAGCAGTGAAATGGGTCTCACGTCTGCAGAAGATTGTGATTTTGTCCACAACCAAGGCTGAGTATGTCGTGGTGACTGAAGCAAGCAAGGAGATGATCTGGTTGAACGGGTGCTTGGAAGAGTTGGATCTGAAGCAAGGGAGAGGAGTTCTTTATTGTGATAGCCAGAGCGCTATACATCTTGCCAAGAATCCAGTATATCATGCCAGAACGAAGCACATCGACGTTAAATACCATTTTATACGCTCGCTGATCGAGGACGGAAAGTTACACTTAATAAAAATTTTGGGGAGTCAAAATCCGGCGGACATGTTGACAAAGACAGTCACCATTGAGAAACTGGAGTTGTGCGCAACTTCAGTTGGCCTTCACGAGTAGAAGATGAAGGCGGAGCCACACTACGAGGATCGGCGCGATCGTCGGGATGTTGATTGAAGAAAGAATTTTTTCAGGGAAAAGATACATGCGTAGAAGGGGAGAGTTCGGGTGAGCTCATTGATGGCGCTTTGGTCTCCAAGTGGGAGATTGTTAGTTTAAGTGTGTAGACCCGAAGCTGCAATTGAAAAGACGAAGAAAACAGTCAGAAGACTGTGCGGTCGACCGCAGTGACAGATCCGGTCGACCGCGTGCACTGTAGGAAACCGAGAAGAAACTTTCGCTCTGGCCGGTCGACCAGAGTGGTCGCTACGGTCGGCCGAGATCGTGCACAAGACCCTGTAGGATTTTGTCGTTCTGACCGGTCGACCGACTTTTGTAAAGCGGTCGATCGCGACTCAGATTCCCTGTTTCCTATTTTATTTAGGAATCCTGTTTGGCTGGGGTTTGTTATAAATACCCAAACGTTTTTAGGGTTTGTAAGACACGAAAAAGAGAGCTTTTTGACTGTAAAAAGAGAGATAATCTCAGAGAGATAAAACCCTAGTTTGAGAGTTTGTATTCTTCTTCAATTAATAAAAGAGATTGTGTGGTGTGGCTCCCGAGGACGTAGGCACGTTGCCGATTGTATTCTTCTTCAATTAATAAAAGAGATTGTGTGGTGTGGCTCCCGAGGACGTAGGCACGTTGCCGAATCTCGTTAAATCTGTGTGTTCGTCTCCTTTATTATTCTTGCAAGCTTAGATCTTTATTTGTGGTATTATTCTTACTTTCCTACTTTCAATACAAGGTTCGGAAGGGTAATGGTTCGATTGATTGTTTCGAATCCCCAACACCACCTTCCTAGACGAAAATTTCCGTCTAGGAAGTATCCTAGACGAAAATTTTCGTTTAGGAAGATTGGACCCACGTTTTTTAAGAAAATAGTTAAAAAATTTCCGTCTAGAAAGTATCCTAGACGGAAATTTCCGTCTAGGATGATTCATCCTAGACGGAATATCGTATATGGATGTTTTCCGTCGATATTGTCGTCATCCTAGACGGAAATTTTTCCGTCTAGAATAATCTGTGTAGGATGCTATGTTTTTTTACTAGTGCTAATCCTCCTATTTTTAGTATACTCTAATTTTAAATCTATTAATATTATATGTAGAATACATAGTGGTGTAAAATATACAAATAGTCTATTAGTGCCTGTAGTTGCATATCTAATCTAATATTATGATCAAAACCCCAGCCAGCGATTGGGGGTTTAAATTTTTGATGGAAATTAGGGGTAGCTGTGTGGAGATAGTTCTTTCAACTGAAAGTTGAAACAGACGCTTGCCCTACTACCAGACCTAATCTATGTTTTTGCTGAAGTTGGAATATCTCCTTCCGAGAATGATGAAGTAAAAGCCCAGATTGGCATGTCTTTTTCCCACTTGATTTCAACTTATGGCGAGTAAACGCAACCCATCTTAACTCCTCGTTCACCTCCTCATGCAAAAGCACTAGCTACACTGGCAAGTAAATGGTAATCGGTCGAATCAACAGCTTGAAGTCTACTTTCTAGGTGTATAGTCATGGCATTGGAGTTTGCTTATTCCTTTTACTTATTCTTTCCTTCTTTTTTCCTTTTTTGTTTGGTGCAGCAAATTGCCTTTGATCATACTAGTGTCATAGAAGAAATAACCATGATTATATCTTTTATTTTCTCCTGATTTCCAGTGCGTACTGCTTGATGTCTTGATGCATGCAGTTCAAGGGAGCCTCCCTTTTTTTCGGGCATGTACTGGTTTGTGATTCTTTTTCCAATTCTTTTTATTTCAATGCATTATATTTAATTAATTGTCAAATGTGTTTGTCTGTGTTTGGTTTTTGATTTAGAAAGTTCTGAGCCTTTTTTATTTTAGTTTATTCAGTTTTTTCCCATTTATTCTGGTGTTGTATATATATCTGCAACGAGAAGAAAAATATGTGTATTAATGAATTGTTCCCATTTAACTTGGTTTATCAATTGAAACTTTACCAGAGTTCTAGCTATCATGGCTATCATGGCAAACGAGAATTTATGTAGATCTTTCATGTTTATGGTGTAACCCTCTACACTTTTGAGTTGTATTTACTTGGACCCGTCCACCACAGATAGGGAGTGGAGAAATTACTTCCTCGGTTACATGAAAATTATATGATTCGTTCCAAATTTAACACTTATATATCTATTATGATTTAATACTTATTCTCACTTTTCACTTAGAATCATAATTTTCTAATTTAATAATAGACGATTATGGTTGAGAAAATAGTCTCTCTACTATTTTCAGCGGTGGAGAGAATCAGAATATGTATTTACTTAACCTTTTAATTTCTGACTACTTCTTATAGGGGTTTCAGAGTAGAACCTCTGTATAGATGTGGGATTGTGCTTGTGCGCGTGAAAACTACTAATATTTGCTCAGCTGAAAGAATGTGTTAGATATAGGTTGAAACAACCAAGTAACATGGAGAATATTGTCTATTTTGGAACTAGTCTCCGTTGGAAGTGCACAGGAGGTTGATCTCAGTAGTTACGCTCCTTCACCATTTTTCGTTATACGTTCTTGGCTCCGTCATATTACTAAATTGGTAGTAGCCTGCAGAGGGAGCCTTGGTTACTGTGAAATGCAATGGAGATTCATTGGCTACTGAGACTCGCAATTCTAATATTCTTTGAATTCAAAGGATTGAGAATGATGAATTGTTGCATGTTGGAAAGAAAAAAAATACTTATGGACTATCTAGATAGATAGAACATAGACATGCGTGGGCTATTTTTGAAAGGTAGAACTTATGGGCCAAAGAGAGAAGATTACAGAGACACAGTAGAGCAGGATCAAATCATATTGTTTTTCTTGTGTGTATGACAGTTTCATTTCATTTCATTTCAAGTTTGAATGTTATCCAAAAAAGTTTGATGGACGGTCTAGTACTCAGGTCTCAGGTCCCCAAAATACAAGGGCAATGCACATCCACGTTACCTAGTATTTCTCACGCTCTGCCCTTGCGTTCAGTGAGAATGATGAATTGTTGCATGGTGAAAAGAAAAAAAAATACTTGTAAACTATCTAGATAGAACATAGACATGCGTGAGCTATTTTTGAAAGGTAGAACTTATGGGCCATAGAGAAAGAAGATTACAGAGACAGTACAGCAGGATCAAATCATTTTTTTCCTTCTTCTTGTGTATATGACAGTTTCATTTCATTTCAAGTTTGAATGTTATCGAAAAAAGTTTGATGGACGGTCTAATACTCAGGTCTCAGGTCCCCAAAATACAAGGGCAATGCACATCCACGTTACCTAGTATCTCTCACACTCTGCCCTTGCGTTTCAGCGGACCATATGTTCCATGATCTCCAAAATTCTGAGTCTAGTAAGTAACAATTTACTGTACTTAAATTATAGTCATAATTTTTACTGAAAATACTTGTACATGCTCAGGGGAGACACAATGACTTATTCCACGAATTTTAATTGATTAACCAAACATAAGGTCACTTGATATTCTTCCCTCAATCACTTTCTTTCAACCTAATCATATTAGGAGGTACAGTTCCGTAGTTTCATATGTACAAATTTCTAACGACAGCTTTGAACACGAAATATAGCTTAGAGGTACAAATATATTCTCCTAATCATTCAAATATCAAACAAAAACCCCTGTTATGATTCTGTTGTTCTGATTCCAAATCTAGACACCAAGATTTGAGAGCACCACCAAGCTTGATGTTACCTGATTGCCACCCAAAACCAACCATTCACGGACCCACTCACCACTCAAACCTAGCCCAATCTAGTCCAGATTCTATACAATCTTGAACTCAAAGAACGCCTACGATTAATTTGGTGAGCTAATAATATTGGTTTATCGCAAAGGTCTCGCAACGTATTATTTAGATGAACGGTATCATTTGCTGTGTCCACTGAGTGAGTAGATTTGATTGGTGAATTGTAAATGTTCTCTGCAGTAAAAGGATATAGAGGATCTCCGCCTCTTAAAATCCTTGTTCCCATATATGGATAACTTACACCCTGAGTTTGATAATCCGTACCAAAGCCAAAATCGAACTAGTGCCCGACAACATCTAGCAAATTGCCAAGTAACCACCTTATAGCCCATGAGCCTTCCATGTGCGAATTCTAAGGGCATCCTGCCCTTCACCAATTATTACAATGGAAGCCGTATAAGTCCTTTTTCTCAAGGCAACCATGTCCTATTATTTTCCTTTTGTCTTTGTAATTATAGTTCTGAGTTGTACCTTTGAAAGATGAGATTGAGATGAGATGTAGAGGGATCTTGTTGTTGGATTTAGTTGTACGTGGATACTTTGTTGGATTGCATCCATGTCTGAAATTGGTTTTCAAAGAGAAAAAGGAGACGGTGACCTTGGTGCAATCAAATGAAGGGCTTTGTGTCTATTGACCTTTACGTGCTTTTGTTAAGGGACCAAAGCCAAAGGAGTGGGAGGTATATGAGCTCTATGTAGTGGGTTGGTCGGTTGTGGTGGTGGTTGATCTCATTAGGATTTGTAATTGCTTTGGTCAATTTTGTCTAATTCAATGTTAATCTCGTCTAATTTATTATAATTAGTTCAATTATTAGATTTATTATTATTATTATTATTATTATTATTATTATTTTGTTGTTTCACGTGCGAAACAATTGGTGGTGGCTGTTTGTTTGTTTGTTTAGTTTGTTTGGATTAAAATTGATGACTTGGATTTAGAGGGGGGGAGAGAATAGATAATTGAGAAGGGAACATATTGAGTGGGGGACATTGACATTGCATTGCGCACATTGTTCATTATTTATGGGGATATTTGTAGAGGGATTTTGAGGTACAGTAATATGAGGCTTTGGGTTGTGTTATTGATTGTGTATGTGTCTAGCATAGAGGAGTATGATTAAAATGTCAGACCTATTGGTATAGTTCTTTTGGCATTCATATTATTTTGTTACATGCAATCATGCACTACTTGATTATTTTTATAGTTTTGTACTGGATCATATACTTTCGGCTGACGTATAACCTACTCTGGTTTGAGGACAAGGATGACTATGCTCAACTAAATACGACGAACATACGTGAGATTGCATCATGATACTGAAATCATTGTATGTTAATGGTTTTCTTAATTTAATTCTATGTTGGAAAAGATGAAGTGTGAAATGGTTTTGGGTTAAGAGTTTTAGTAAACTAATTTGGGGAGCTTAACTGATATAAGTTAAAGTAAGTTAAAGTGGTTAATTGGTTTGATTTTACGTGGGAGGGGTATACTTAATAAATCATCGAAAAAGTTAAAAAATGAGCAGAATATTCCCTCATATTTCAACATACTAATAGGATTTGGAGGCCTGAGATCAATTTCAAAGATTTGTGGGTTAATACCGAAATATTGAAGATGTTGGGGGTGAGGCTGAGAGCAATTTCAAAGATATGGGGGGCTAATATCGAAATAACCCTTCGTAATATTTGATTGATGGGTTATTATAGTGTCAGTGTAATTAGATGCATGCATGTACAGTTTGGGGTCGAGTTGGATTCGATTAAGCTGGTTGCCCTTCATTATGATCTGTAGTCGTACCCGTTTTTGACTGGTCAATCCTCAGTCCTATTGCCTGGAAAGCGAATTCTGCTAGCACGGATTTGTCTCTGGAAACATGACAGTCTGAATTATGAGAGGTCTCTAACTTGAAATTCATAAATAGACAATATTTGGGTTGTGGACTCGGTGTGATTTTGGCACCAAAAGAGGCTCTCAGAAGTTTCATGCTTCTTGTTCTCTCATACGACCTTGTGATTGTACCGCATGTATAATGTTGGCATCGAATGGAGTGAGATTTGGTACAAAGAAATAATGCAGGGAAAACCCACTATGTGGGAGGCGTGAAGAGAGATAAGATCAGAATTAGTATAATTCCAGCTTTTTGCCGCCAACAGTGACCAATACAAAACCGTGTGCCGCAGTTCCTCTTTATCCTTCACTTGATTTTTCTCCTTTTCCATTTATTTTTAATGTAGTCTGCCCCCTCAATAATTCTCCTGTGATTTACTTAAATTACTTAACACTCTAATATATACATTATTAATGACATTTTTTTTAAATATTAGTAGCTCACTTTCCACCTCACAAGGGCACAACCTTCCAGCATTGACAAAATCAACTGACGTAATCTTAAATCAGACTTATGCTTCAGATATCTGGCAGATTTCATCTTATGCATTTATTATAGTATTAATATTAATTGCATTCAGTTGTTCTGAGGTTTTCCTGCTTGCTGGTTTATGAAAGTTTTCAAGTGAAAACACTTTTAGCATAAACGAAAATCCAAGGAAGATCATACTCAATACATGACATGAACCATCTCAATCATCTACTATGGAATTAATCACTGAATGATTAACAAAAAAAGAGGAAAAAAAAATGGTTCACACTACTAAGAAAGACGCGGCTTATTCCTGGGGTGAGGCCACAATAATACTAAATTCAGAAACACAACTTAAATCAGGATGATCAAATTCAGAGAGAATTTTGAGTGTTCAAGATGAAGTGGCAATGCAACAGGGCTCCAAAATGAAGAGCGGCTTCCTCAGCTGATTGCACCTCCTCATATCATGCAGAAGCTCATCTCTATTCCTCCTCCTCCTTGATGTCAACAGAAGCTTGTTGTCCATCATCGCCGACGAGCTGTTGTCATTGGCCATCCAGCTGACGGAATTGTTGATCGACGACTCGAGAATCTGTGCACCTTCAATGGCGGCTGTTTGCCGCATCCGTTATTCTGCTGCGGCG